AAACAACTGAGCAGCTGCAGGAATTCTCTATTTAGCTACACCTTCAGTGCAACAACTCACCCATTCTGATACTATTAAGAGAAACAAGACACTGAATATTGATGCTGAGGATAAAAATACCTTTCATTAACCTCGCCCATAACTGCACCATATGTGTAGATGTTCTATAAATCAAGGCACTATACAAATTCAGGCTATTCACAACAGAACACACTTTATGAATACTTTCTAAGCCTGTTTTTATTTCACAGTCTTTCTATAGTGATATCTTCCTCTTTCCTAAGCCCTAAAAACATTAGCTTCAGAATAAATTGTAAAGAACAGACTAGACTGCAGAAGTTGTAGGGAAAAAGCATTCTCTAAAAGTAAGAAAAACTGGCAATGTACTTTACCTTTGCACGTTTTCCAAACTGCAAACTCCCAGACTAACAAATCCCTTAAGTCCTGACCTCTACATCTTTGGGGTGAGGAATTATGTGACAGCTTTTAATAAGCATTAAAAATGTAAGCTAATTGACAACTAATTTCTTTTTTAAAGTTTCCAAACCTTTTTTTTTAATTATTATTTTTTTATTTCCAAAGCCAAGGAGAAAGGAAATCTGGAGAACTGCAGACAGCATTTTGATTTCTTACACAGTACCATGTCAGTGATTGTAAGGCACGAGACTCTCCAGCACACTGCAGCTACACAACCAAACCAAATCTCTCCTGCTGTTGTAACAGACAGATTTCTGAATGTACCAAAAATATTCTGAAGCCAACACTTAAAATAAACATCCACCACAAGCAAAAGGAATTGCTATATTGATGTGGTTCCTTTCATCCTGGTCTGAAACCATGCTGTGATCCAACGATAACACCAAACACAGAAGGCAGAGTTTGTCACTGCTCTCTGCTGTAATTTTGACATCTGTTTCACAGCTCTTGGAAAGCCCATTTCCATTAATCTATGAGAAAAGACAGGAGATAAAATTCCCAGGCTGCAGAGGGCATTAGGAGACTTTCCTAGCTGACTGTACATTAAGAAAGAACTGTAACAGCCAAATTACGTTACTGTGAATAGACGGAAGATGCTGTAATTCTATTCCTCCTTTTGTCTTAATAGAGTTATTTATGTTGCAATCTCGAGGGCAGACCACTTACCAAAGACATTGCTAGCCACCTGCCTGGCACACAAAAAGAGCAGACTAAGAACAGAAGGTGACAGCCTGATCCCATTCAGCAAAAGCTGGTCTGTGCTTTCCTGACTTAACCCGCAAATTATAATTTTTAACAGTTTACACATATTGCTCCTGCTGCACACTAGTATTTAAGCAAATTCTACCAAACAACCCAGAGAGTTATTAAATCTAGGTAAAGTAAGGGAAATGACTGAAAGCCTCATCACAGAGAGTTTTAAACTACTTAAAAGCTTAGCTTTTGTAGTATTTATGCCTTTCAAAAATAAGAACAAAAAATATGTTTGCCATTCAATATAATTAAAACATAAACATAACAAGTTGCTTCAACCTTGATCACTTCCCTAAGATTAGTATCCTAAATCAAAGAGGGAAAAAATGCTGGTCGTGTACAATTTCCACAAAAATTATGTACATGCAGCACACACATTAAGAAGTGGGTTCCTTTAATTTAAGAGATTCATTTCAAGCATCTGGCCTTGAAAGCATAAATCTCTGTTTTTATTAAAAAATACCAAACTGGCTTTACCTCATACACAAGCAAAAGCAATGCTAAAAGCAAATACAGTATCTGACAACAATAGAAGCTGCAGAGAAGAAGGAACGAAACCAGGGAACTGTTGGAAAAAACTAAATCAAACCATCATACATATGTAACGTGTTTTCCACTTTGTTGCAGAATACTAACACTCTGTTCTTGCCATATTTACCACTGAGGAATAAAAAGAAAGATGTCACTAAGGAGCATCGACCCCTCTGATGTAACCTGGAGTTACTAACCCCACATACTAAGTTTACAGAAGAAAATGTTAGAAGAGTACCTTCCAGCTTGAAGAACAGTTTGTGATATTACTCAGTTGTGCTAGTACTCAGTTTGCAACCCTAAATATAGAAATACAGTGGCTCAGTCATTTGAAAGAGAAAAATAACTGAAACTAGCTCCTCTGAATTAAACTAATAATGAAAAAACACGATGTTATTGATCCATATGGTAGGAGTTGTGTGGGTTGAAAAATATTTGAGAGTTTACTTTGAAGTCCAAAATAAAAAAACGTGGTCTTAGTGCAAGTCAAAAGCCCAAGTCCACACACGACCAAAACTCATCTCATTTAATCTGGACCAGCTGACTTCCCGGCAGGACACGTGAGAAGAAATTCTGTTTCTCTAAACAAGGTTGGCAGCAGGAAAATCAAAGCACGGCCAACTTCACAGCACAGCTAAAGGCTGGAGCGGTCTCAGTTTGTGCTGGTTTAAGGAGCAGAGAACGACCACTCCACTGCCTGCAGTATGTTCATTATCTAGTGTCATAATTAACACCATTTCAGTTAAACTGCATATGGGAAAGCAGCAGGAATTAAGAGTAAATACCAAAACTCCTGTCAAATGGAAAATTATTTTCAACCAGCTATGAAAACTTGTCATTATCTCTCTGACTGTATTTACTGTGCTTTGATTCCCTCTTAACAGTCCTTCATTCGATCTCAGACAGATGATAAACAACAAGACTTCAAATTTGTTCAGTTTTCCCACTCAAGATAGGGCAGGAGACATTGACATTTGCATGGGTTTATAAAAATCTTTACTATTCAGACAGGATTTAAACATAACCCTACAAAATACTTCCCATTTGAGGGGAACAGGAAAGGTTTGGGGAATCACACATCTCTTTATTTGCAACCTCCTTTTTACGTAGTAAAATACTCACAGTATATTTCCATAAGTATGAAGGAAACCAAGATAATAGTTCAGTTTACCACACACTTTGTGGTTTAACCACAAAAAATAAAATATAGTTGGCTCATGGGAGAATGTCTGTATGCAATGGGGCCACACTTGAACTAAAACTATACCTAAGACTGCTTTGGCTATGCCCAAGAAGAACAGAAGACTCTGCTTAATGTATTACACAGTACATTCAACATTCTACTTCTGATGTTGTCTGACAGAGGTGTCCACGAGTTGCCATCCACTGAAATATATATGTATATTGAATTGTGTTATATACAGCCCTCGAGCTACAGGCATACCTCACTGGTTATCAATAAAACAGATCCTTAGAGATGATGTAAGGTTAAGTCCTTCACTTCCACCTACTAGTACAAATTTACTCCTCCTTTGTTTTCAATTTTACCATACTAGAAAATGGTAAATCTTAGTTCATTCATTTCTATTCCTCTATTTTGTAAAGTTACCCTGACAAAGAAGAAAAAAGTTCTTGATCTGTCATCAACAGTGAGATCAACCAGAGAACTAAATGATGATAAACAAAAAATGCAAGCAATGTGCAAGCAATGTTTTATTTTTGTCTTCTTCCTCCAACATCACACTATTGCTGCAATTGTACACAGAAAACAGAGGAGAGAACAAACTCAAAAAACTTGTAATGAAAAGATAGCCAGAGCCAAATCAACACTTGGTTTATTTCAACCCAAAAGAAAAACAAACCTCAACATAAGGAAGAGCAAACACTGGGAAGGGTGACCATTTGCAGGCAAAAATGGTCAGACATCTGAACAAACCTGCTGGAGCAAGGGAGCTCTCTAGACAAACACTTCTTCAGCAGATATCTTCTCTCTTACAAGACACTTTCCCCTAGGAACACACAATTAATTTACAACCTTCCACGTGTCTGTAACATGCCACTGGCCACTCATATATCCTTAGGATATTACCGAAAGTCAGCCCATAATAGAAGCCTCCAAGGTTTGCATCAGCACTGAGCACATCCCTAAGAAAAAGGAGAAGAATATTGGTTTGCCCAGGCCATGTGTCCACATTGGATCAGTCAGGCACAGACATCAAGGTTTTCTTTCTCATCAGAAAGTGTCCAGACAAGGGGAAGTATGACCAGTAAGTTAAAATATAAAAGTACTGTCCCTTTAGCACTGAAATTAATAATATTAGTTACAAACCCTGGTAGAAAAAATGAAGCTAAAATGCACTAAATTTGAAAAGAGGGGTTATTTGAGGACAGGGAGAGAAGGAGGCATCCTATTCAAAGTCACCTAAAATGCTAAACTAATTTACAGAAAGAAGATAGGCATTTCTGCAAACAGAAAATAAGTTAAAATTACTCTTCTCCAGTTGTAAAAACATGTAGAAAACATAAATTCAACAAACAGGCTGAATTTGGGTCCCTTTCCTCCCATCCTATAGGAAACAGTTCCTAGCTGCAAATTGCTCATTCCTAAGAATTACAACAACCTTGTCAAATTTAAAGAATAAGCTATGCAGAGTCCTCCACCAGATGCTCCCTGAAGTCCAATTACACAGCACTCCTGTTTCTTTCCAGAAGACAGAATGAGGGAAAATACTTAATTATTATTATTAATACTGAAGCCCCCTCAGTGTGTGACATACCATAATATATGAATGGTCAATCAAACATTAAAAATTTGATTGATGTTCAAACTGAAACATTAATAGGGACCTGTTCCTGAAATAGAACTAAACAAGTATGTATGAAACAAGCTAACCCCGCAAATCAGACTGGAAATTATAGGAACCACAAACTCAGCTGGCTGCTTTTGTTTAATGGTATTGATTGTTCTGGGTAAAAAAACTGCAGGTGTTGTATATATATATATATATATATATATACACATGTATATATTCAGAGGCCTTCCTTTGGAAAAGGCCTCTGAAAATATTTCTAACACATGGAATACAAAAAAAATAGATAAGGAAATGCAAACCAAATCTCCTATTTAGAAAAGGCAAATGCTGCTGCTGATTCAGAGGCCAGGTACATTCTAAGGTTTTGGAACCCTTCTGTCTTCACAATTCTCACAACAAAAAAAAAAAAAAAAAAAAAAAAAAAAAAAAAAAAAAAAAAAAAAAAAAAAAAAAAAGGTTGAAGAGACTCAAACCTAAACCCAACTCAAACTTAAAACTTTATGTTTTAAGAATTTTTAATACATTGGTTATTATATCTGCTGTATATTTTAATGGTTAATACCTACTTCTGCCTCAAGACAGAAACTGCAATTCCTTGCTATCTGAAAGCTGTATGTCTGTTTCAAAAAACTTGTTCACTCTCTGGCTGTCAAGACTGTTGTTTTATAAAATTAAATACATACTCTATAAAATACAGCCTCTAGTAGTTATCCATTCACCTTTCTGAAGAGACGTAACTGGGTTAGGATTTGTTCTTGCTTTACAGGAACTTTAGAACCTACCTAATTCTCTTATGATAAAGACTCAGATATGGGAAGCCCTAAAGTTGGAGCTTCATTCTATCTCCATTTCAAATTCATCCCCAACTGATTCCCAGAAAGAAGAAGCAATAACTCAATTTGTAGTGGTAAAAAACCCAGCCTAATTGCTCTTTTCCTGCAACAGTGACTTCATAGACAAAACATAAAGGAGCTTTCAGCTGTAAAGTAAGGAAAGACTATCCAATTTCTCAAAGCATGCCAGAATCCCCATATCATTATGCCAAGATCTCAAAGCCAGCTCTGATAATTAATATTCCTAGGGACTGAAAGATCCTTAAATTAAGTCTCCAAGAAGCAGGACTAACACAGAGGATGCAAATTTGCAGCATTTTTATCCTACTGGCTTTGGGGCAGGGAATTATTCATGGAGCAGCAGACTTCAAGCCCACTGTCTCATTCATATCATAAAACTCTGGAAACAAATACACAACTTGCAAGCACTCCCCCAAGGTAAAACCAAAGCATGCTCTACATTTCATGACCCACAGTACACTGTTTGATAAACAGCACAGTCATTTAACAAATGCTATAAAATTTGAAGTCCTTCACATTTCTAAAGTGCAGTATTCACATGGCAGCTTTGTACCAACTGCACAAGAAACACTGTTTTAAAATTACAGTTTTGTATTGATTACCTGTTGGTTAGCTGTGTTACAGAAATAAACCAACCGACACAATCTTTTCAGAATGCAAAGAAAATACAATTATACCAGAAACTTCGCCTACTATAGGCACATTATGGCAGACAGAGATAAAACCCATGAGGCTCCAGACTGCCACAGCCTCAGATGATATCAGTGTTCAACTTCAGAGCACACATGAGTGGCTTTGAAAGGAGACACTGTGATGTGAGCTGGCAGATTAGAAAGGAAAATTCAAGCCCTTAAAAGGGATTGCATGGTTGAGATAAATGAGCACAGGTGTCACAGGTTTAGCTGGAATTAGCATCAGAATTCGGGACTTTCAAGAATTTAGAATGTTTAAAATCTTTAAATTAATTAATTCAGTGAAGGAAAACAATCTGTCAAAAAAAAGAACTTAATTACCTGGCAGTTATGTTTCTCCACTGAAGAAGCAAAGATTAGAGCTAGACAAAACACACACAGACACTCCCAAGGGATCAATGTGCCCACAGAGACCAGGGTTAACCCTGAAGCTTTTCTGCTCTCAGCATACTGCAATTCTGTTCTGACTTCAGTTTAGCTAGAAAAGGAACAACTCTGCATTACAGCACCCAGCAACAGGCTAAAGCAACCTTAAAACAAGCTCCAGTTCTTTGAGATGAAAAAAGCGGTTTCCAGCAATTCTGTTAACCAATACAAAACTACTATTTTAAACATTTAAATGCTAAGGCATACAAATGTGATTCAGTGCCTCCCTAAAAATAACACATCTCAAATTCCCTGGGAAAAAAAGGCCATTCAGTCATATGCTTGAAGCCTACTAAATCATTTGCTTTCTTCAAAGGGGACAAGAAAATAACCCAGTCAAATCTTTCACACACTTAAACGCTGCACCAGAGGTTTTAAAGATTGGGTTCCTGTATGTTGATTTCACAGTGCTGTCCCATCAAGTTACCTAAACTGAGTAATAAGCACAGCAGGTCCTCTCTGACTTCTGTACACAATCCAGAATGGCATTGTTCTTTCTGGTAATCTGAGCTGCACTCCTCCCAGGGAGACTTTGGGAATATAATTCAATTCCTTATAGAAGTTTTAGTTTCTGATAACTAATTACATCACTTTTCTGGTAAAGAAAACAAGCAGATGCACATTAGTAAAAAAAGTTAATTTGCATGATTAGGCATCAATTCCTAAATCAAAATTTCAATAAAATATCTGTTTCTTAGTGTGGCTCAGTTTAAGAAACATTAAAACATTAATTAAATATTGTTGGTCTCACTTCCTAGCAAATTTACATTTCAAGGTGATGCATCTATTTTCTAAATATTCATTCATGTTAATTTTCTATGTCAACCATTTAATAAGCAATGGTAATACAGAAACAGAGAAGGAGGGACAGAGACATTGTATCTGCTTAGAATCTCAACAACAATATTTTTGGCCTCTTGCTGTATTGGCATGCATCCTTTAGTTCTCAATATCCTCCACTGTATAAATGACCAAAACTCCCAAACCATTCTCCATTATTTTAAGAATATACACATTTATACATAAGCAAGAATATGTAGGGATTGTCATTGCTACTAGAAAGACTATGCAATTTTTTTTAAAAGGTAAGAATAATCACAGCATCACATAGTGAAATTACCCTATGCAAAACAGCATTTTTCTCATAGCAATAGAGAAAAGAGAAACAGAAAATACATAATCAAGAGGACTATAGAGGGTCACTTGAAATGGAAAACATTGAAGTAAATTGATAGTATTTCAATTGCAACAAGAAGCATCTAAAATACATTGATTTCAAAACTGGAATATTTTAAGTATTCAGAACAAAGTAGAAACAAGAACAGTCATCCAGAAAGCTGCCAATTCTTTAGTAGTCAACAGGGCTTTCTAGAGAGGTAGAAATGAGGTAAGGCAGTCCAGCTGAAATAGAAAACAAGCAGTGTTCATGAGTAACAGAACATTTTCTTTTAAGCATGAAAATCTATGATGAATACATCAATAATATTTCAAGGGCAATACAATTAGAACTGGAATTACATACTAATAGTCAAAGAGCTAACTTAATTTCATCAAAATGAGAGAAGAGCAGCCTCACAAAGAAAATGCTTATATAGCTTTGCTAGCAGATACAGCTGAAAGGATAAACACAAACCAGAATTACTGTATTAACACCTGCTTGCAATTTATTTCTTTAATTAGAGCAACATTCTTCCCCTCTCTTAAAGACAAAGTTAAAATAGAAAAAAGAACTGAGAATCTTTCCAAAGACTTTTTAATTTTTTAATTTTGTTAAATCTAAAAGCCTTCTGCTGCTTTTCCATCTGCCTCATTGAAATTACAGTGCCCATCACTGAACAATTTCTAGTTAAAAAAACAGTAACAGGACTATTGCCAATACTGGACTCTGACTGTTCATCCATCAATTAAATAGAGCCACTTCCAGGCAGAAACACAACATGTGCTGCTGTACCTTGTCCCCAACACAGCTGCCACTGCTGCACACATCCAATGAAAGCAAAACAGAGAATCGACCCCAGAGAACAGCACTGGGCAGGGACACTGCTAAAATGCCCATTTTCCATACAATACCCATGTCACACTGTACACCTGCACTGGAGGTACTGATCAGCTGGTTCCCTCTTATCTTTAGATACAAGAAATGGCAAAAAGCCAAACGTTTGGTTATTATATGTTTTAAAAGCATTTATGTTTAGGAAACAAACACAAGTGAACATCTGAGACATCAGTGAAGTCACAGGCAGTGACTACAAATAGATAACAGCAAGCAATAATAGAGAGATCACAGAATAATGTCAGCTTTTGTCTATTTACTTTTATATCCAGACTTTTCAAGTAGAGACTTGCTCACAATTTCAGTAAGGACAAACAACTTTAAAACGATGACAAAAGAGATTAAAAATGGACAAGACTTCAAACCTCAGAAAATGAACTGGGTATGGGGCAGTTTTAAAAGTAGTGATTTTAATAATACCTACATTTATATAGGTTTTATCTGGTGGGTTCCTCAGTAGGCTTCAAATTAAGATATGTAAAGAGACATGTACAAAAATTAAATCTTTTCTATTTAACTGAACCAAAACTGCCAAGTATTTTCTTAATCATTGCTCTGGATAGGCTTTAGATAAAATCCATAAAAATTATGGTGTAGAATGTCACCTGTTTATTCAGTTTACTACCATAAACTGAATATTCTGAACACTAATCTTTTGTGAAATACAACCTTTCAGCAGTTTTTTCTATTCATTGAAAATGAAAGGGAACTGAAACAGTAACACCACAAATGCATGAGGACTTGGCTGTGGTTTCAAATTGCAATATTGCTTCCTTCTTGAATATCTGTCTTGTGAAAAAGTGTGGCATGGAATTCGGTGGGAGGGAGGGTGATAGAATTTTTTTCCTCGTAATCTGTTGTTTAAGGCATCATCAGACTTGATATACTTTAGTTTAACCTCTGTCTTTTACTTACCCCTCAAGTACGTAATTCTTGCAATTAATAAAGGTGCCTATATAATCAAGTGCAGTTTATTCTGGAAGACACCTTTTCTGGAAGAAAACACTTCCTTTTATCCAATTGCAACGTGTTTCCCAATATAAATCCAGGGTTTTTTTCAGTGTATGCTAACAATGCTCCCTAATACACAGAGCAGCAGAACTGTAACTGTTAACAGAAGTTTCATGTTTCCAGTTTCTTTTCACCTTCACACACTGTTTAGGCAAGGAAAACCCAGACTGTGAAGCACAGCTGATGACTCCACTGCATTCCTACCGAAGGGTAATTACAGGACATGCTCAAATACTCAAATCACCCCCAGCATTCTATGAAAAAAGCTGAGACCTAAAGAAACAATAAAGCTGTACACAGCTCCATCAGAAATCAGGATGCTAGGGCTGAAATATACTGAGTTTTAGAAAGCCTATCCTATTTCCAGAGCTGACTGAGAAAGATGGCCCCTTGCTCCTCCCTTTAAGTCCAAATCAAACATCAGTCTTTATGGGCATGCAACTGCACAGCACAAGCACTAAAATCATATGTCACACCGAAAATTCAACTTGATTTGGATATCCTTATAAAACATATAATTTTTTTAAAGAAAAAAATTAAGTAAACAAAAAATAATTAGTACGTTTTAGCATTCTAGTCAACTCTGAAAACTTGTCACTGTGTGCTCAAAGATCAGTGTAGCCCAGGCCTTATGAAATTAAAGTGTCAAATATGTAAGGATGTCTGCTGCTCACATACCAGCACGCTTCTGTAGAACTCCAGCACTTCTGCCTGGGAAATACAGGCACTCCAAAACAATCCCACAGACAAACTTACTTTCCTGTACCAGAAGCAATCCAAATCTAGCACAGAGGTTCATATACAATGAATTAACTCTTTTTTTTTTTTTTTAAGGCTAGTACTATCTTCCTTTTTAAAAAAAAAGAGTCACATCCAAAGACAATTGTAATTCTTGCCTCTGTCTTACATGTT